CGCCCCGCAACGTAAGCCGGGACGCGCCCCCTTGCCCTGCCACTCTATCCGGGACGCCACAGTCCCCTCCCCCGCCCCCAGCTCGGCCGAGAGAGAGACCCAGATTCTTTCTGGAACGAGAGGGGTGCTCCGCGCCGCCGTCTGGTCCCCAACCCCCACCGGGCCTGTAACGCAGAGCCTCAGGTGCGAGGGGTAGAGGGGTTTGACGGCCCGGGGCCTCTTCTGAGGTCTGGTAGGCTTTGTCCTCCGCAGACTCAGGCTGTGTAGCCGGCGGTTCGAGGGAGTGGATGTTACTCATTCGTTCGTTCATCCAGCCAGACGTTCATTCACCAACATCTGCTCTGTGCCAGGCCCTGAGCTGGGCGCTAGGATCGGGAGGGGACCAGACAGTGTCCCTCTTTGCACACTCTGGGCCCCCTGGTGCCTTGGGAGGTTGGGGCTGGGGAAATCCTGTGCCCACAGAGCCGGCCTTACGTGGGCAGCAGCAAGCCTGGTGTGGCAGGGCTGGCTTGTGAGGTTGGCCCCGAGAAGAAGCTACCATGAACCCACATCCAACCTGTGATGTTGGCAGGTGCCATTCTATTCCCTGGGACCAGGCATAGGCCCGGTGTGAACCCCACTTCTCCACCCGTAAGAGATCACGGTGATGGAATGAGTGTGAACTCACCTATGTGCCCACTAGGTGTGAACACCCCTGGGCTGTATGTAAATTCTCCCAGCCCTCATTGTTGCCCAGGACCTGGGCCAGGTACCAGTGTCCCTGCTCCTGTACTGGGCTTGTCAGATAGGTCCCTGAGAATATACTCCCCTTTGTCCCCAGGAATCCTGTCTGGGTGGGGCTGGTTGTGTGAGATGCAGGCAGTGCAGAACACATTCAAACATCTCGTTTCTCACCTCCCTCCCTCCTTCCTAGGAAAGGCTGGAAAAGGCTCTCTCCCTCCCTCTCTCTTCCTCACCCCACTCCTCAAAAAGGCACAGGGCAGAGTATACGTCCTATCCACTGTCCCACACCATGTGTGCTTGTGTGCGCACATGCCCGGACACCATGAACACTGGTCGCTTGTTCAATACTCTCATAAAAAAGCAGTTAGCAGTTGTTGCTTGAACTATGCACCAGACACTGTGCTGAGCCCTTTACTGCCTGATGGCCTTGGGAGGTGGGAAATGTCACTCTCCTGCTCCTTTTAAAACATCTGGGAATAGACACCCAGGGAAATAACTCCCTTAGCCCAGAGAGGCTTGGACTCAAAGCCAAGTCTGTTGAATTCTAAGGATTTCTCCATCAATACCCTTTTGCCATCCCCTCACTACATGGGAGGGCCAGTCTCAGGCCCACTTCCTTGGGCCTGAGTCCCTTGCTTGGTCCCTGGGCTGAGTCTGTGGGAACCTGTACCAGTGACAGCTGAAAAGTCTGTCCTGCTCCAGGCACCAGCACCTCATGCTGTTCCAACACTCTGTTTCCTGCTGCAGTTTCATGCTTGGCCCCTTCCATCTCTTCTGTGATCCACCTGCCCAGCTCCTTTCTCCTTTACTCAGCTGCTGCCTCAAGGAGACTTTTGAGATGATCAGCAACGTTTGATTACTCTTCCTTTTCTCAGCTCT